CTGAACAAAGTATGATGCGGTACGATGAGCAGATGGACTGGAAGTGGTGCGATGTCTCATCGCTTGCTTCTCGCCGTCGGAACGTGGAGAGGAGGCCCATTGAGGAGAATATGCGCCCGAACTCGTCGCAGCTCCTGATATTCGCGAGTCGGGACGGTGAAAGGCAAAGTGCGGATGGGCAGCAGCAGCATCGGATGCGGAGGAAGGTGTGGCGCCAAGCGATGCAAAGGATCCGTGCGGGTGCGGGTGCGGGTGTGGATGCTGGTGCTGGTGCTGGTGCTGGTGCTGATGCGGTTGCGGTTGCGGATGTGAATTTGAATATCCCTGTTGTAGCTGCGCGTGACTGTAGGTGGGATGAGCGTGCGGATGCGCATGGATCGGGGATGGCGGTGCTTGATTCATGGATGCTCTTCGACTACGAGCGTCGGATGCGGGAGCAACAAGCAGCGAGGAGGATTGCTTGAGCGCTGCACTCGAGGAGACCAGAGGTAGCGCGACAGTCAACGGTAGCGACGGCGGCACCTGTCGAGACGGGTTAGACTGATGGTGCGAGGATGGACCGCGCTGCTGATTGGATGGAGCTGTTGGGGAGAGCAGAGTGGGACCAGTGAGCCCTGTGATGGTGTGCATTTGCACACCAGGTCGAGCAGCGTGACACCGTAGAACGAGGGCTGGTGAGGTCGGACAATCTGCTTGCGAACCAGCTCGAGCTGATCTCTCGTCCGTCGTCGCCGGCAAAGAGATATCTCCTCTTCCCACGTTTGCGGTAGCCCTGACTTGCCACTGCGTTGCCCTCGGCCTCGGGGCTGGCGAGTTGAAATGCAGCAGGGATCTCGCTTCGGATCGTCTGAGTTTGTCGCTACGGATGAGAGTATCGTGCCGCGTCGACAAGTGCTCTGCTCTGCTTGTCAGCGCAGCCAATCGTCTTTGTGGTGGGGAGGATGTGGTCGTTGCAGCAGACTTGCAAGCGCCCACACTGTGACTGTGACTGTGACTGTGACTCACACTGCTGCTGCGCGATGTGGTGAGGTTGGTTGGTCTGATGAGAAGGCTCGTGCTCGCAGCAGCTGTCACCGTCGCCTTTGGTGCGACGAAGGAAGAGCAAGAGGCGCTTTGCGGGGAAATAGCGGAAGCCGAATTAGGAGCAGCAGCACGAGCTCGAGCTGCAGCTGCAGCTTCAGCTTCTTCGCATTGCCCGTGCTCCTGCTGATCTTCCACCTTCCTCGGCTCTCGTGCCCCACAATTCAACGGCAGCATGATCAAGCAAGCAAAAGTGCCGAGCAATTCCCCCTCAAACCTTTCCCCGCCGCTTTCCCCAACCCCGCTCGCTGCCGGGATCTGCTCTCCTGCCTTCGCAATCACGAATCGTGAATGTGTGCAAGTCACGAATGCAAGAAGGACCTCCGCCGAGCTGGCGCTTGCTTGCCTTTCGTCCTTCGTGTCTTTTCCTTAGCGCGTTCTGAACCCCGCTTCGCTTTTGATTCGTGAATTCACGACCGTGATACCGTACTCTAGGCACAGAGAGGCTTTGCAGGTGGGCCACGTAAGTCTACGTTTTGCGTGAGATCGGTCCTTTGATCTGCAACTTCAGATTGCCGACGCTTGCTCGTTTCTTAGCCTCGCCTACAACCGTCCGGTGTCTTGCGCACAATTCTTTCCGTGATTCCGTTTGAATTGCTCGTGAAAACACGAGGCGAGTTGAGCGTTGCTGAATGGCCATCTATGACGACACTCACGACGCGATGTGACGCTGCTTTCAGTGTCCGGGATGCGGGTGGGGGTAAATGAGCCTGTCGTCGCTGTCTGGGAGAAGGAGGGGCGTAAAGGAAGAGGGGAGTACGGGTGCTGAAGCTCCGTCTGTGGCTAAGCGAGATGGGGAATCTTGCCAGCAGATGGGCGAGTGTTGGCATTCATTCGTGATTGCGTTGGCATTCCTCAACTAGGCGCTATATATTGTTCCCCAACTCGTCAGGCTGGATACGAAGCCATTTCGCGGCACCAAGATTGGCCCCCTCGTCCATGCCGTCCCACACAACGCGAGGGACGATGACGTCGGCGATGGCTTTCTCCCTGGCACAAAGAGAAAGAGAAAGACAGAGAGACAAGCCGAGCCGAGCTGAGCTAAATCTGGCTAGCGACCGGTCTGCCTGCCTGCTTTGCCCGAACTTAGCCCAAAAGCTCGAAGAGTACGCATCAAGCTTTTCAATGAATAAATCAATGACATTAACTGCACTTCGATCCAGCACTCTTACACCTCGTTTGCCCTCCACGCAAGATCCACTTTAGGCCCCCCCCCCCCCC